GACAGACAGACAGACGCACAGACAGACAGACAGATGCACGGACAGACAGACAGACGCATGGACAGACAGACAGACACACGGACAGATAGATTTAGATCATTTATTAAAGATCATATTTGATTATAACATCAGAACTCTGAACATGTAAAATCAAGTGTTTCTGTAAATCTCTGACTCCTCTTCTCTCCTCTTCTCTTCTTCCTCTCTCAGGAGTGGTGCGGGCCTTGGGTCTTCCTCATCTTCACGGCCTTCCTCGTCCTCTTTTTCATCTTCACCTACCTCAAAGTCCCGGAGACGAGGGGCAAGACCTTCGACGAGATCGCCCGCAGTTTCGGCAGCCCGCCTCCCAACTCCTCGTTTGTGGAGGACCCACCCGCCAGCGCCAGCACCGCCACAACACTCCCCTCCTCTCCGGTGAAGGAGAAGGTCCCGTTGGTGGAGGCGGCGGTGCCGGCGCCGGCGGCAGCTCAGCCTCCCGCCTCTGAAAGCGCGCCTCTTGAGGATAAAGCAAACTCGACGGCGCAGGAGAGTGTAGAGCAGCTGTAGATTGAGTTTTAATGGGTTTTAACAGAAGGAGGAATCACAGAGATTTTAATATAAACTAGAGCTACCGAGAACAACAGCATCATCAACTTATAGGCTTTGACCTTCAAAATGTCATGCTTTCTGCTTTCCTCTTTAGACTTTTTCCTCCTTCTTTTAAATCCTCCGTCCCGTCACTGTTAAAGGGAAGCTCTCACTGTACACCACTACAGATTTAACCTACTGTACATTCCTAGGAATTAAGCTACATTCATTCAAAGGGTGAGTCTTTTGCAAGACAGCCGTGTGTCTAGTCAGGGTGACGCTTTTGTCCAACACGGCAAAATTCCCAGGCTGTGTTAAAGGAGCGCTGCTACTACCGGGTCCAGGTCAAAGGTCCATCGCTGCAGAGTGTGCTGACTAGGACGCATGCCTTTGTGCATGTGTTTCCAGACGCGGATTGGGACGATGCAAATTCTCGTGTTCCTGTTTTTAAAGTGTAGACGGGTGTTTTAGTGAGTACTTTAGTGCAGTATACCTTTGTAGTTTCATCCAGTGATGTTTAACTATCATTCTTGGTGTTTTTTCGGAAAGTGTACTCAAATCACAGGTCTAAGAAAAGGGATTCTTAAAATGTTCGCTCCGCCTTCAGCCGTCGACTATGAGCTTTTCTTTTAGCAATGCCAAAGTTCTGAACTCTCGGTGAACACACGTCGCCTCAGATGTTTCCTCTGGTTGTTAACTTCAGGGTGAGAAGATGAGCAGCCGGAGTTTATTTTTATTTTTCCTGCTTGTTGTTGGATTATCAGCTGATGAAGTCCAGTTCTACATTTATTACATTATTTCTTTTTAAATTGATGTTTGTTAAAAAAAAAAAATCATGAACTCGTCATTGGTTGAATTTCTATTGTGATTTATGAAGAGGTAAATATATAGAGGCCAAAATACGTTGTTAAACCTTAATATTGCTTTACTGTATTGGAACAATGATGGTAAACTCATGACTGTGACGGGGACCTGTGGACAAAAAGATGTCTGAATTGTTTTAATGTAGATTACAGTCGGGTAACGAGCAATATACATTTTATTTTGTCCATGAAGCGATGAGTATTTATTACCTTAGAAATAGATTTTTGGATAAAGTATATAATTATAATACATTAAAGCTAGTTAAGAATCATAATGCTTTCCAGCCCCGAGTGAAGGAAAGAGTCTGCAGTGAGCTCTACCTGCTGTGGTGGATCTCGTTTCTCTCTATTTAGATGCACTTTGTTAACAAGCAGCAAAACGAGCATTAGAGCCACAATCACTAAACTGTATTCACCCGAGACACTGCGTGTACGTCTGGCCAAGCTGTCGTTAGAGTAGAGTCGTATAAGATGTGCAATCGATAAAGAAACTGCAGCTTGAACACTGTAGGAGCTGACAATGAAAAAAGGAAACTAAAGGGGAAGTGCTAATACTGTATACACAACATTTTAATGGAAGAACAACTTGAACAATTCCTGTCGTTTCATTAGAATAACTAATGTGGCTGATTCATATTTACAGGGAGAAATGGCAATCAACGTTGTGTTGACCTCATGATAATACGAGATAATCGTTTAGTTTGTTAAATCAAAACGTGTCATTCCAAAAGGAGATATCCTCCTTTAAATAAATGACTGGCAGCACAATATTAATAAGTCATGGTAGCTTCATAACATCAATCTGAGGCACCTTGAATTTAACAGATGAAAGTTTAGTCTTCAAATAATATTCAAAATCAGAGTTGATCTTTGGCGAGAATCACAATTCTGCCTTCAAGTCTTATTATTTTCAGATACTACGTTATTATGAGGTATTTAGTCAAAGCATTGAGAACATTTCTCATTATTTTGAGAGATGAGCTTCCATAGAAACATGTTAATGTATCGTTTGTGAGTGAATCAGAGGCTTCCGCTGCGTTTCTGGCTTTGTCCGTCGGTCCAGACGTTCTCTACGTCGTGACGCTTTCTCTCAACAGTCGGCCATGTTGTCAACATTTACATATTTATGCATCACCAACATTGCATTACGTACAGTGTGTTTGTTTGGTGTGTAAGTGTATGACACAAAGTATATTTTCTATATTTTGTAGTGACTGTAGCTGTGAAAATAGCTTTTTAAAACGACAGTAATTCACGCTGCACTTTGAAAACATGTTTATTTATTCACGCTTTATTTATTTTTTGGGGAAGATATTAGTCTGTGGTTGACGCCAGGTTGTTTCATCTGTTTCAAACCCTTGTGGACAATATAAGATAACTGGTTTGTCAAAAACCTGCCCGGTAACGAGTGAATCAGGGATTACAAATGAATCTCACACACTTCAGTGGCAGACTGGTTTGGTTTGAGATTTGGTGACTTGACATCCAGATTATAGATGTTTTTGGAGTTTGAACGAGTCGAGACAAATAATAATAACATTGTCTTTCAACTGCAAACCTGTCTGGTGTGAACGCACTCTCAAAGACAAAGGGAATTCAGCGAATCAACCATAGCCATCTACTTTATGCATACAAAGATATAGAAGAGTATTCATTTGTAAATATGTATTTTTAAAAAAAGATTACTATTTCTATGTTGACCTGCATGGTGACACGTGTGTGTTGGGATTATTCTTCCTTTGGGGTGCATGTGTTTGTTGTGTAGGGCGGGACATTTAGGGGAATACCTCTTTACATCTGTAGCTGTTTCTTCTGTGAACAAGATCACTGACTGACACTTCCGTCTCCTCTCTTTTCATTTCCACGTCTTTCTCATCACTCACTCACAGCCGTGTACGTTTATCTGTGCGCCTGATCAGATCACACTCAGAGCTGCTGACAGCAGTTGATTTATTTCAGGTTTTTAACAGTGTGAAGAGCCGAGGAGTGAACCCCAAAGTCAGCGTCTTTTCACTTCAAACCGCTTCTTCTTCAGCCGAATATGGCTGCTGATTAAATCTGCAACAAATACAAACTTCTGCTTTCAAACCCGGCTCTGAAATGAACCACTTAGTGTCACAGGCTTGTCTCACAATCAACACGCTTTGGCTGATCGTTTGTTTGTGTATTATTTGTTTGCTCCTGATCCGTGTGTTACAGTTGTGTGAGTAAATGTTTGGGTATATCGCGTACTGTAAGTCTGCTGTTTGTGCCTCTCTGCAGCTCACAGACTGTTATTCTGTGTGTGTGACCGGAGGGCTTTTAGACTCAAACAACCATCGTCTGTACGCTTTGCTGTTCGGCAGCAGGTGACTGAGACGAGACTCCGTTACTGTCAGGATGTACTAACTCGACTCTGCTCATGAGTTTTGGGTGATTAACCGCAGCTTTGGTTTGTGTAATGTGATGGACATGAGCTGGTAACCACTGTAGCTTCAGTGTGAATATTTCTCTCTGTGCCACGCTTCCCAACTGTTTCTGTTTCACCTGTGTTTGTATTGTACATAGCAGATATAATGTTGTTAAATAAAATAGTCATCATGTCACGACACATGGTGTGAATGTGTATGTGAAGATCTTTTTTTTTCTCTTTCTAGGATTTTACGAGTGACTTTTGTGTGTATTTACGGTGCGTAAACACACTATGAGTGTACTCATCACAACAAAACAGCTGGAGGAAGATTGCTTTTTTAAGTATAACCCAAATCATGTCAGCTTGGGCTTAGAAACTTAAGTCTGCAATACAAACTGGGGGTCTGGAGTTGAGAAAAGGTGCGCTTACCATAGTCCAACAAAAGATTGTGGAGTTGCATTATGGGACGTTTAAGATTCAGAACCTTTTGGGAGTTTGGCCCAAAAACTAAAAATCACAATATCTTTATCTTCTCCACTGCAGCATTGAATGTTATAATCCATCTCACACAGATGGAATGAGACTACAGGAGTGCACCTTTACAAGCTGCAGTATTTCTCAGACATCGGAGGTCCTGTTGCCACCTAATGAAAATACACAAATCCACTCCAGGAATCTTTATTTTTAAAATCTCTGACAAGTTGAGATGTTCTTAACCAAATACTTAAATACCGACAAATATGTGCGGGTTGAAACATAGAGGATAAGCCCCCCTGCACATACAATACAAACAATTAAACAGTTAAACATACAGACCAAACAAGTACATAAACATTTAATAGTAAATAAATACAACCTCCAAATGGCAACAAAGTAGCCAAGTACACAAGAAAATACCTTAAGAACCATAAACTTTATGACAAATTGGGATTTAAAGGCAAACGTTGGCATTATATATATATACATATATAATTGTTGTGGCGCTCCAAAATCAGGAAATGAATGTCTCTAACACTAAATGATGGATGATTTCCTATGAGTACGCTTTATTATTATATTGTTGATATCAATCAACTGTATAGATGAGGTATAATTATAGTTTTTTGTAGATCTGTTTTTTAATTAGTTGATTTAAATTTATATAAACTTATTTTATTGTATTAATATGTAATATTTTTAGGCTCATCTTGGGTTGGTGTAAAAACAGGTCCATAACTACATCAAAATAAAAGTAAAAAACAAATTTGCATATTAGGAGGAGAAGGGGTTCTGAAGTCCTGCATGGAGTCCCAGAAGGTCTCGGTGCCGGTCCCGGTCCGGGTCCTGGATGGACCCCTCTCTCTCGGTTCCTGCTGCCCCGTCATCCCGTTGCGCCGGAAAAGGCAGAGCAACGAAGAAGAAAAAAAAAAGGAGGCGTTGCCCTCCAACAAACACCATCAGCTGCAAATTTATGCAAAACAGTAAAAGCCGTGCTGCTGCTGCTGCTGCTGCGGCCAAAGCAGAAGAAAAGACGCAACAAGCACGGAGCTCCGGAGCCCGTCCAGCCGCCCGGAGCCGTTCAGCAGCGGGCAGCCGGTGCAGGAGGAGGCGGAGAAACCCCGGACCGGTGACGGTAAGCACGGACCCGTTAACGAGACCAGACAGCAGCGGGCAGGCTAACGGGATGCTAGGAGGAGTAGCCTCCGGTGAAACATGGAGGGTGATGGTAGCTACAGCTAACACCTCTGTGTCCTCAGCTGATGCATGCAGCTAAAACAGGAAGCCTCTTTTTTTTGTTGCTGGGAGAGTGTGTGTGCATGTGCATGTGCATGTATGTCTGTGTGTCTGCGTGTGTGTGTGCGCGCGCGTGTGCATGTGTGCATGTGTGTGTGTGTGTAGGAGGTGTAGGGGTAATAAAGGTGCTGCAGGGGTTAAATGGATACACCAAATAGGCCCACAATAAATCCAGATGTTCAACAAGGAAGAAGAAAACCAACAATAAATATTTAAAAAAATGAATAAAGAGTTGTGGAATTTTAAGTTTATGAAAGATGAACAGAGCAAATACAAAATATTTATTTTTAGGCCAGTGCTGATTTTGTAAGGAAAAATAAATTAAAGGGGAAAGAGAACAAATATTGGGTAATAAATGACCACATTTGTGTTTTTGTAATGATATATATATATATATATATATATATATATATATATATTCTTTTTAAAACTCTTGTTTGCTCTACAGACTTTTGCAAAGAAGGTGTTTTTAAATGGTCCTCTCATATCTGCTGTAGTGCGCTCATGTGCAGTTTTAAAAACTACAGATTAAAAAAATACATCAATGTTTGTGTTTATATCAGCTGTTAATAAATGTAGTATATGTCTGAGGTGACGTAGGAAAGGTGTTAGAATGATGTGGTTTGTCTGCAGAGCACTGAGAGGTGTGTCTTACAGTAAAATGTCTCAGTGTGTCTATAAGTCACAAATTAACAAACAAACAAATCTTCATTGAAAAAACAGTTGCAAAATAATGACCGTTTTCTTTGCGTATTTATTCATTAGTTAGTCAGTTATGCCGTTCATTTGTAATTTAACGTGTTCATTTGAAAGCCTTTCCTTAGTGGCTGACCATGTTTTATTAAGAATCAGGATTTACTGTGTCCAGCCTCCATGTTTAGAAGAGAACACTGAATTATTGTGATGTGATGCAGAAACAATGGACTCCTTTAAAGATGTTGGTAGTGTCAGAAGAAAACATTAGTATCTGTCAGCGTCGGTCTGAAAGCATCTCCATCAGTGAGAGCATCAGTCAGTGTTCACGTCCACCACCTGTGAAATATCGAGTCGCTTTTACAGCGTCTCGCCTCACAGAGGAACGCCGTTTGTCACCAAAAGTGACGGCTGGTTTTTCATCAGAGTGTGTGTGTGTGTGTGTGTGTGACTAATGGACTGCTCCTCTGTCTCCTCAGCAGCCATGGAGACGGATGGAGAGCAGAACCAGCAGGGGGCCTCGACCAATGGGAGCGCTGCATCTGGGACGAGCTCCCGCCCCTCTCCAATGAACTCCATGTCTCTATATGAAAGACAGGCGGTGCAGGTAGGTGTGTGTGTGTTTTGACAGTTTACAAGCTTTTACTCTGTCAACATTGGTGCTTTTTTTTTTTCCTCTCGATAAAAGACTTTGAGTTTTGGCTGAAACAAATATTATTTATTAGGGACGCAATTAGTGTTTCCTAAAAAGAAGAAATGTATTAAATCCCAAAAGGTATTGTGGTTCAGACAAAAGTGCACAACATAAAATAATAAAACTCATTTTTTTATATGGATATCTTTTTTTTATTTTGTGTGATGTTGACAGCTTTTAGATTTATCCATTGGCAAAATAACCTCTAAGCAGACCTACAGATTTGTTTTGCCCCTAGTGGTAATACTACTAATACTACTAATAAACTTTAATTATGTAGCACCTTTCATAACACGAGCTTTCACATGACTGAAGCTGTGCGGTGCAGAGAGAGGCCGGGTCGTGCTGCTTTTGATGGAGGCTCTGTGTAATTTCCCAGGCTTCTGTCGTCCTGCGCGGCCATCTGTCTTTGTCACCCTGCACACACTAATCCAGCCGGCCGCTTTCATCTCTCAACTTATTACTGTACGAGCCTCTGCTCATACATCAGGCAGCATCCCTCCCTCTGCGCCTCCTCTGCCCTCGTTTCTCTTCTGTCTGTTTTACTCCTGCTTCTTTTCCTCTTTCGCTGCCACATCTTCATCTGGTTGTGTCCCGACATCTTCTCCATCTCCCGTTCTGTCATCATCCTCCAGCTCATCCTTTGTGCTTCCTCTCTGTCTCGTCCTGCTGTCTTCTTCTTCTTCTTCTTCTTCTTCTTCTTCTTTCTTCATTTACTTTACTGCCCCATGATTGTTGATTTGCGTCCTCTCCTCCTCCGTGCAGGCGCTGCAGGCGTTACAGAGGCAGCCGAATGCAGCCCAGTACTTCCAGCAGCTGATGCTGCAGCAGCAGATCAGCAACGCGCAGTTTCAGAACCTGGCAGCCGTGCAACAGGTAAAGGTGTGTGCATGCTGTGTCATTCATCATTTCGCCCCAATAAATGTCACAGACTGGCATTTTTATATAAGACAAAAGATTCACAAATGATTTCAGAGAAAGTCAGAATGGATGAGAAAAGAAAATAAGAAACTTAATGTAATAACTCAGGAATCACAGGACAGAATAAAATGACAACAGTATGCACAAAAAAGAAAGTAAAGAAACTAGAATTTGCTGTGTCCCTGGTCAAAATGGTGTCTTAGTGACCAAAACAAAGAGCAACGTTTTGCACGCTGGCCCATCGGCTCCTTCCGCTGCTTGGAGTTGTACTTCGTATTTTGAGGTCTTGACAGCCTCTACAAACATCCTACTTTGTATTTAGTTTGGAGTCGACGGAAACCCAAAGCTCTTCTTCTTCTTCTTCTTCCTGCTCCCAGGCTACTCTGGCTGCCAGCCGTCAGTCAAGTCCGTCCAGCAGCGGCTCCTCTCAGACCACCAGCACCACATCTGTAAGTTCCCGTGCACCAACATGGCGGCTTTCTGTCACTCACAAGCTAAGAAAACCTGTGGGGGGGGGGGGGGGGG